CACCTCGAAGGCGGACACAGACAACAGCTTGCTTGGAGCACGCTTGCGGCGACTGCCCACACAGCCTTTGTGTACACGCTTTCCAAGCAGTAAAGTTTGTCCAACTCAAACCGTCTTCCCTGACTTTTGATTGGGAATCTTTATCTTGTCGACCACACAACTCTCGACAGGTCTTTCCCCCGATCGTTGCCTTTGCGTCTTCTGGTGGCGCCTCGTAGCTCAGGTGGCTGGAGCGTTGGCTGTAGTAATGCCTTTCCCATGCTGTCGCGGATTCGAATCCCACCGATGCCGCCGAGTTTTTCACAAGTGGGTTAAATGAATTATTCAAATCCGCCAAAAGCACCCATTAAACCCTGATATATTATTAGATAGCTGCAATCACGTAGATTTCGGCCCTGGAACATATATCTACGTCTAAAGCTCTCTCCACAAGAGCTGGAAATAACTTCGTTCAGCCTTTACTAGCGTCTCTTAAAATAGAGGCCTCTGCGCAGCTTGGAATCCCGGCACACCTATCTGCAACGAGTTCAAAGGCTCTTTGATTACGAAAATGTAAACGTACTACTTGTTGTCGTTGAGTAGGCAACGCACGCTAGTTTAATACAAGTGTACGTTTCAAGCAACCTTGCCTTAGCAGAAATCCACATCGTTTACTTTTTGTGAGTCAGTCCGTTTTCTATAAAATGTTAGGGTACAACCATGGTAAAAAAAAAACGACCATAATCTTATGTTACTGTATCCCAGAAACTGGGCAAATTCTAGAGCAACACCTCTCATTGAAAATAGTTACCGAGGTCCGGCGACGGTCCTGTAGATTTGATTCATTTTTAACAAGACCGATCCTGGCCCAGTTTACTTGGTTGCTTCTGCCGAATCCGTGCTGTGTCAAAACGTGGCATGCCAGATGATACAAAAGGTCCTCACCATATCAAATTTCCCGGAACACGCTCATGAAGGAACAGCAAAGAACTCTAGAAGATGTAAAAATGGCCAACTAAGCGGTCATCGTAACTACAGACAAAAGACGACTTCATCAGTAAGCTCAACAGAGCAGAATACAGAAACAAGGCTCCGGCGCTCCTCACAAAGCAAAACCGAGCTCAATCAGCATTGCTGTTCTCGATTACTAACAAAACCTCTGTCCGGGCGAAGTATACGTAGACGTATTGGCCTCTAGGTATGGCATATTGCAGAACGCACAGAGGCAACAACGTCGATGTTTCAGGGCCTCCCAATGATGCAACAGCTAGATGTCGTGCTCAATCCAATTGCAACCGTTTGGGGTCCGTCCGCGTATGGGCTCTCGAAATCGTTGTTTAGGAAACTGAAACAATAGTCAACTCAACATAGCAGGTTGGCAAATAAGTCAAGACTATTACAATTCAACCAAACTTGAGGTTGACGTCATTTGATGCCAACTCCTTCATATCCACGTCCCGGGCGCTCGCAATCGAAACAAAAAATGGCCTACTGGCGGAGACGGTGTGGCAGGAGCGAGAGTCGATCTACGATTTTGTATGTTAGCAAACTAGTAAGGTGCCGTCTCAAGACTCAGCCCACTTTCGAGTGGATCTTCTATGTGTAAATCAAGTGAAAGGACCAACAGGGCTCGAGTATGCAGATGACGCGATGACTGCTGGAGGAAAAAAAGTGGAGGACCAACTTCCCTGCATTGGCGTACTCGAGTGTCGCCAATCTGACGATCAACTGTGAGAAAGGATGTAAAGAAAACTGACGAGCACTTTACGGTTATTAATTTACATCGGCAACTACCCGCTGCAAAGTTAACAAAACCACGTAAACACGTCTGCTGGCCAGTGGAAGTTTGTTGAGGTACGATGGTCGGAAACACAAAGATTCCAAAATCAAAAGTTAGGGAAGACAGATTAGGTTGGGCAAACTCTACTGAGGGTAGATCATACAAGCGACTCGATAGGCAGTTTCGGTAAGTCGTCCCTTCAAATGCGTGTGTCACTGAGATTGCTGGATCGCGGAGTGTTCGCGCTGACTCTGCCCGCCTGCGGCCAGTCAGCGGAGGACACAGCGCTCATTGGCCGCCATGCTAGCCTGTGGTTACAACAGCGAGTGGAGTGAGAGTGCGAGGGTGGAGAGAAAGGCAGTAAAAGTAAGCCGTCCCGCCGGAGACCACAACAGGGATTACCTCAAGCTCACCGCAATATGCTTGCGAACAAGAAAGGTGAAATCAGTCACCTGGACGGAAATGATCAATCTGGTGAAGTCAGTCATCCCAGGTAATAGCGAAGAATCGCGTATGCGAAGTATTTCTGCGAAAATGTGGCTTCTTTCCTTGCAAGACACGGTGTGGAAGACACTCATGCCTCTGCCTCGAAACCCCGCCAGCATGCGATGCCCCTAGTGCCCGTATTTCTAACGTCGAGAAGACATTTGCCATCTACTGATCCAAGTGAGGCTGTGAATATGATAATAATGTCAGTGATATCGGAAGAAGGTAATAGACACCTATAAACGAACGACAACTGATGGTGTAGAAGGTAAACTCCAAGTGACGGGGAAAATCATGTCATCCAAAATGGGCTTATCTTCGGATTTTCCGGAGTCAGGGTTATGGGACGACGTGGCAATAAAAGGGCAAAGCACATGCGAAAGGTTTTAATGACGGTCAGTAACTCATTCAATCCTCAACGCGACCTACCTGCGGGCGAATGTTATTCCCCTGCCCACAGCTGATGTGCGATGACGGTCAAGTCATTTCTAGTCGTTGCGTTGCTATGCGCAGTGTCCCTTTACGACTATGGTGACACAAGCGTTATCTTATAGCGTGCCTAAATGCCTGCAAATAAGACTCATGTTCACACCACCACCACCTAGTGGCCCACCTTTTCCGTTTCAATTGACTAATGACCATATCCGAGGAAATATTAATTAAGCCAGTTGCAGGAGGGGCGTCTGTATATTGTACATCGGTATCCCCTTTATTTCCATTGCATCTTTTGCTCCAGTTTTGCACTTAGTGAATTTTGTCCGCATTCCCTCCTGCTATACATTTCGTTCGTTCATATTTTTTTAAAATCGGGCTTGATTTCCTATTTACGCTACGCCAACTTCTCAGCCAATACTAGTGTCGCGCTTAACTCTTAACAATAAAGCGTCAGGCACCTAGCTTCTAACAGACGGCAACTAGTCTTGACCATCAAATAGACCAGTCAATCGCGGATAATGAGACACGATTGTCCAAACAAGAGCATAATTAGCCTGACGTTTCGGATTCATAAATGGCCTCTCCAGTCTCCTTCGTCATTTTCCATAAGATTTATTGAGTATGTAAAATCTTGCTACATACTCCCATCGCCAAGTGCAAGCGCCTGGCATATGTTTCCTTCGGCATATACTTATCCTGCCTGCAGCAAGCAGTCACGCCAGCGAATTTTTTGCATGAAATTATATCATATAAAAATTCACTCATGTTCACCGATCTACTTTTGAGAAATAAAGGAAATCCAAAATGGCTTTCCTTCAGTGACTTGAAACACCTGAGCTACGAGGCCCCACCGGATGACGTGAATTTAATCACATTTGGGTCAAGTTACCCACTCAGCCTGCTACAACGTCTGGAATTCACCAAATCTGATACAGTAAGCTGACTGTCCAAGGTGGATTTCCTAAGTAATCCATTGGAAATTCACCAGAAGACTACCAGGCTCATGTAATTAGTAGGTATTTTGACAGATTTTGAATGATACAGTTTGACCCAACTGTGAAAAACTCGACCTCTCGATGGGATTCGAACCCACGAGAGCAAGTGGAGGGCTTTAGTACAGCCAACGCTTTGGCCGCCTGACCCAAATGTGAATAAACTCACTTCTACCGGTGCGGCCTCGTAGCTCAGGTGGCTGGGGCATTGGCTGTACTTAAACCTTCCCCTTGCTGTCCCACCGAGACGCCGAGTTTTTCGCAGTTGGGGGTCAAAATGAATTGTTTAAAATCTGCCAAAATACCTTTTATTTCTAATATAAGGCTAGTTAACGTCTGTAGTGCCTCGAAAATTGGTTACTACATTGTGCAATCTAAACAGCCTCATGAGTCGACGTCCTTTTCAGTTAACAGAAGTTGTTATTTCTTGATTTTTTTTCAAACAACTCCAACATAAAAAAGCTCAAGCAAACTTTCATAATTTCTTTTCATTGTAAGGGTGGTATTTATTCCATGTCCAAAATGGAAATAAGTTAGTAGACACCGAGGGGCACAAGTGCCGACACGAAATCTTAAGGAACTTTGAATACATACCTTATCGGCAAAGCTGAAACAGATACTGGGACAGGAACTGCAAGATGCGGTTTTAATAATCACATGCGAGCGGACACGGGGTAAAGCTCAGATAAGTACCCTATTTGGTTCGTGCTCTAAACGGTCATATTCGGTTTGTCGCAGCGTCATGGGATTACTAATATACAAGAGAGCCATAACGATTCCTAGCTTCTGTCGTTAGTATCTACTCTCACTGTCTCCGCTTTCTGTGCTCGCCATCTTTGTGATCATCCAGGTCTATCCAAAAATAGCCGTCAAAGCATGACTTACATTCACTGTTCCCTTGGCTTAACTAGCACCTAAGGACTTTGCTTTGTGGCTTTACTGAAACTAATCCTGTGCGTACCTTCATGTCTAGCCCTCGATGAGCGACCAATTGACCCCGCACTTTAAAGTGTAATTTTCTGGAAAATACACTGTTAAGGTTCACACTCAACGCCTATCATACCCAAACACGTGCTTTTAGCCGAATGCCTTCTTCGAGCTCTGATTGGCGCACGGTATCGATGTGACTACTTCATTGTGGTCTGTTCGCATTATTGGCTAGAGCGCACACCCACAGACTAACTCTAAAATACAATTAGTCAGGCTTGCCACCCCTATCAATTCTGGCTCTTATAAACTCAGAGCGGGTTCGTAGCAGTCACTCAATTCGTGCTCGTCAGGTATCATGTCGAAGAAGACTGAAGACAAAAAATTTAAATTTGAGACCGAGGTCAGTCTCCTCACTGGGGGCCAAATTGGCAAGGGGACGACATTTTCGACACGGGAGGTTGAAAAGCTGTCCAAGCCAAAGAAGACGGACAAAAAACAGAAGCCGACAAGCTCAAAGGTCTACGGCAACAAGATTGTCTTTAAGAACAAACTGTCTGGTGGCGAAAATCAGAAGAAAAAGAAGAAGCTGTTGTTCTCTAACATTAAACTCCTGGCTCGCTCTGCCGATGACGGTCGCATAGTATTTGTTCACTATGAGAAGGAACAACGTGGTTATTACTTCGTCGTTGGGTTCAAAGATTCATCCGCAGCGGAGAAGTTTGTCAATGCAGTTCAGATGGGAAACGAGACAGTGAAGATACTGGATGATGAGAATGGATATTCTAAGGAGGATACTCATTCGGTCAGCAGTTTCGGCATCTCACAACGAGACAAAGAGACAAACCAATGGGCTCCTAGGCAGCTGTCAGAAAGCAGGGCTTCCCAGAGTCATAACTCTCAGATGGGAGTTGAGGAATTCCACTTCTATAACCCCATGAATATCGCTCACATTCCGTCCCCACCACTAGTTTTCAGCAATCCCGTGCAGTCCACTCCTGCACAGTCGTCTTCTACATCCGAATTACACATCAATGGTGTAGCAGCCAAGGAGACCTACATTTCAACCTGGGATGAGGAAAGCCAGTATTCCCTTGACGTCAGTGACACCGGTTCGGGGCATATACGTAATCCGTCACCGCGTGCGCCCCCTGATGGATTTCAGAGGTTTACTCCAGGTCCAAATGGTTTGGTGACAAATTACGTCTACATTGGACCTAGGGACGAGGAGGAGTCATTTAATGGAGAGGCACTGTTACCGCCCCAATACAGCCGCGAATCCCGACCTCGTAACCACTCTTCGACAATAGAGTATCACCGTAAGGGTTCCGTAACATATAGCAATGGCAGGGAGGAATGGCTGGAAAACGCAATCAACTCTGACCGCCGTTCTCGAGGGAGAAATTCTAGCCTAGTCTATCCACCCAACGAGACGGCACGGAGGATGTTAGTATCGCCACCGCAATCTCAACGGGTACGCAGCTCATCACGCCAGACCTCCCGTTCAAGACGCAGTTCCCGGCCCAAGCAGATTCCCCTCTCGGAAGATGAGTCAAAAGGCTCCGGGTGGCACAGTGATATCCTCTTTGTGACGCCAAAACCCGGCGGTGGCTGTAAGATCTCATCTGATGGACCTGTGATGCTCTTTACAGCCTGTCGTACCAACAAACGCGATTCAGACAGTTCTGACAGTAGCGATGAGGAGGAGGATCTATCCTTGTCTTCCAGCACACTCACCATTCGCGACGGCGAGATGGCGCAGGCAGAGGAGGAGGAAGATGATATAGAAATGAATTATCATTCTTCACTGAGAATGCATGCGAACAGTCAGGCCCTTTCTGCTGCGACCCCCTCCAGGCGCTTGTAAGCAGCCCAGACAGTAAATCCTAGTTTGACCTGGAAATAGCACAATCAACCACTTATTTTACTCACACCTACCTAAAACGGGGAGATGGGATCATCCCCTTAAAGATGCGTGGTTAAGGTCCCTCCGATAAACCAATTTCCACGCACTTCCCATGCCCCTTTTTGCATAAACAGAATGCTCATGTCCAACTTGACGTCGTTAATGTGGTATTGGCATCTGTGGACGGAATGCGAGCACTGCTTCAACATTTTGCACTTCCGAGATCAACTTTATATTACTTTTTGAATTTCAAATGGCAGATGTAAAGTATTTGGAAGAATAAACTTATGTTCATGTACAGAGGCCTTTGAAAAAAGACGTTGACTGATTTGTTAGGTCAAAACCGCATAGCATTCGGGGGAGGATTGCGAAGGGGGTGCCTTGCTGTCAAGAGACCGCCAGTGGAAAGAAAGTGTATTTAACAGATTTCTTCGCTCGAATTGTATCTACTTCAAAAGAGAGTATGTTTACGATGGTGAGAACCTAAAAAGTTATGATGCACCAAATTCGTTCAACAGGAGTTTCCAATTGAACTACAAAGTTCGCTTTAGCTGATCAGCGGAGGCCCAACGTCCATACTTTGGGTTTCCGATTAGGCCTCTTGATGAGATAATTTTTCTGCCCGAGTTCTCTCACGTAAAGACGAATGCTGTTCAGGAAGGGTTGGCCAAAAATTAATATTCATGTAAATTCATTTAATTATTTGAGTACAGAACTAGGGAAGATACTGCGGGTATTTTTAGGGCAGAAGTAACTTCCGCTTCTGTTGAATTTCTAGACAGCAGTTCCAAGGATCATTTTAGGATCACAACGCATATTCAAGTAGTTGGAAAAAAATTAGCCTCCAGAAGTGTGGGTCTCTACTCCGTCATGGGTTATTTCCGAGTCTTTATAGCTGAACCAAGTGAACATTGTGTCGTAATTTTGACTGTGTGGATGCCAAACGCTCATCCACCAAAGGGACCCCCGACGATTACGGCCGGAAACAAACACAAAACTGGCAATTCAGTCTTAAAACGGCCTGCGAACGGTGGCGCACTTGGTGCTCAGAAGTTAACTCCGTTTACTACAAGATCGGGCTCATATTTTGATGTCTGTTTTTATACAACGTCCACCAGTGAAGATAGATCAATAAATGAGTGTGTGTTCACCGTACGCATAGGCAGTAGTTTTGGGAAATGTATCACCATCTGACGATGGAGTTGGGTGTGAGTTCGGAACGCCAGGCATGTCAACCTAATTTTCCAAATGTTAGTGGTCTTTCCTCGTCTTCTTTTTTCCCTTGAAAAGGCAGGTACAGTAACGCAACCAAATGGCAATACCGACAGTTCGACCGACGTTTTCGACGATCTGGGGAAAAGGAGGTGCTCACTGGATCTAGGGAATTGTCTTGCTGACGTTTCGGAGAGCATGGCCGGCTCTGCATTATCAAAGCGTTTAGTGCAAAAATCGATCAGAATTTTGAATAGACAGCCGAATTAGTTGGCCTTGGACTGATCAATTTTTATTCTCCTCAGATTATGGACCCTGATCTCTTATGTTTGTTAACCCGGGTTTTCGACGATGTTCATCGTATGGCCCACAGCGGGGTGGGCGCACGGACGGTGACTTGCGGTGAGTTAGTCTAAAATGGCAGCATACTTGCGTAGCATCTACCGCACTCTCTCTTCCCTTCCCATCTGGACCCAGCGTCGTGACAGAGTCAAGAAGACCGGAGGGGAGTGAGGGCACAGGTGGTTGACACGGCAGGAGTCCGCACCTAAAGGTGACATTGTAATGGCCCTACTCTGGGAGCCTACTCTAACGCCGCGCCTCTCGCAAGTACTCGCACGTGCGCACCAATACCTGTCTGGTTCTCGGTCAACCACGGCAGTGCCAACCGGCCAATCATCTTCAAGGCCAGCTTAGGTGTGCTCTCGGGCAAGCCGTTTTGACGCATCCCCCCCCCGTCACTCAAAGCATCGCTCTCGCAGCGCTGGGCGTGTTTTTTTTGTCTGGCGGCCAACTTATTCCAAACCGTTCTCAAATCTTTCAGGGCAGAATACAGTATCCTCTCAACTAGTGTCTAGCACCTCTTTCTATTCGGGACTGGGCCTGAAGGCGGTAGTGGCTACGTTCTGTCCATGGCTTAAGCCATCGATGATTGGGCCTACATGCCTTATAACTGCCGCATGTTCTGTTTCTGCCACTACCTCTGACGATGGACTCCTGTACGAGTCTGAAAGCTCAGGACAATAAACGAAGTGTTCCGGTGCTCGACTCTTCTTCACTTATCATCATACCGGCTCGGATCCTACTGAGTGGGAGTGCCACAGAGGCCGAATTAAGAGAAGCTATTTCAGCCTGATTCTCAGTTCCCCAGTCGAGAGAGAGGAATGCTTTATTTTGAAAATAACATTCAAAACTTTCAGCAAAAAACGGTTCTCCAGTACACAGTGATTACCATAGAGATTAACAGGTATTGGACAGGTGGACATAATTATATATGAAGAAAAAAGGACTTTAAGGTGCAAGATCAAGTTTTAGTTTTTGTTTTTCAGCATCTTTGCAGGTGAGATACCGGGCTAGAAATGGCAGTATGGAATTCTGATAAGCCGAAGTGCGACAAGGGATGTGGCGGAAGCATCGACGCATGGGGCGTAAGGATTTCGCAGCCATTAACTCATTATGAAGGGGATGGACGCTGTCATTCAGAATTCGGTCAGCGAATTGCTCCAACGAGTTGAAGTGTCGCTGCACGATGATATCAACTAAAATATGATAGGAGACACCAGCAGCAGAGGCGAGCATTCGAATGACACGTTTAAAAATAATTAGATCTTTTTTAAGTAAAGCTGGAAAAATAACTGGAGAACAATAAAGAATGAGTGGAAGAATACAGCCATCTATGAATCGCCAGATTAAGGACTGGGGTGTATGATATGAACGTAGACGACGAATGTAATAAACAAGTTTTTGAATTTTTGTTAAAAGGGTTTCCATATGAAGAGAGAAAGAGAGATTTGAGGACAAAGTAACACCTAGGTACCGGAAAGAGGATACTTCCTTGGGAAGAATATCTAAAGGTTCAGGAATGGGAGAGGGTCGCAATCGAAACACACACTGTACTGATTTCTGATTGTTGAGTAGGAGCCCATTATTCGACGACCATGCGGAGACGTTATCTAAGCCATCCTTTAAAGACTGTCGATGAGTCAGGTTTTTGAGTGGGTGGCCTACGACCATGTCATCGGCATACTTAACATACAGGCAATCGTTTGGCGATCTCAAATCATCAGTATGAAGAGAGAAAAGATGAAGGGATAAGATGGAACCTTGTAGAACTCCACAATTATTTGGAAGAATAGAAGATTTTCTCTTCCCCGACTGGACAAACTGTGTGCGGAATGAAAAATAATCTCTAAGCCAAGAAACAACCCAGCTCGGAGCGTCACGCGCAGCTGCTTTGGTCAGTAGGAGTTGGCGCGGAATAGTATTGAAGGCGGATGAATAGTCGAGAAAAGCACATGCATATGCACGGCATCCCTTGTCTAGGTCTCTCAAAGCTGAATGGACAACTAAAGCAACAGCATCCAAGGTGCTACGCTTTGCCTTGTATGCAAATTGTAGAGGATCAGAAAAATTGACGGAGGAGTACTTAAGGGAATCTAATGCAACTCGTTCAGTAAATTTCAGGAGTGCAGAAGAGCAGGTAATAGGACGGAAAGATTTAGGAGCAAAAGTTGAAGATTTTTCAGGGATTGGAGTAATTCTTACTGTACGCCAGGCGTCAGGAATCTTGGACTCTATGAAGGATAGATTAATAAGGTGGGTCAAGACGGGAGCTATCTGCGAACAGCAAGACTTAAGGAGAAAAAGGGAGACACCGTCCGGCCCAGCCGCCGTTGACCCGCGAACCTTTTTGAGATGTTGTTCCACTGTTTTCACAGTCACAGGAGTAAAGTCGCATGGTGGTAGGTAAATTTCGTATGGGCGAGAATGGGAGTCGTTGGAAGTACAGATAAAATTTCGATTTAAAGAGTTTAAATCTACATCAATGGGTTCAAATATATTACGTTGACCAGTGAGACGCTTGAGATTCCGAGTTATACCGTCAGCTGACAGCTGTCCAAGCCATGGCTTTTAGCGCACCGCAGTATAGTCAGGCGCATCAGATTGTTTAGAGTGAGGAATATGCGCTGAGACCGTAGACCTTACCCTCTTACCACTCCCTGGCACCAGTCCGTTGTCCGGTTCGCTCATTTGTCTGGTGCGGGGATTGGGCGCAATGGCCGTCTGCGCGTACTACGTACTCGATCTGGCCCCTCACACACAACACAGCAGGATTCCACGCAAAGGTTTGAACGGCTTGGACCTCACGTGTGTGAGAATGCCATAAAGGATACATTAAGGAGGAGCCATACAGTCTGACTCTCAGTCCACCAGTCGGCTACTCCACACAGACACTGGGCTGACTATGAGGTCAAAGTTGAATCGTCAGTTGTCAGCCTCCCAAGCCACGACTTTAGAACCCCCTGATAGTCTCAAGCACATAAGATTGCGTATAGTGAGGAATATGCTCTGAGAGTCGATCTCATTCTCTCCACTCTCGGGCGCCAGTCGATTGTTCAAACCGATCAACCAACTGATGTTAAGATTAGGGGAGCAGGCTGACAGAACTGGAAACAGCTGCCTGTTCTTGCTACACATGCGACCTGGCCTCCCACACGATTCACCAAGGGATGCAATGCTCGAAACTCACATGTAGCAGAGAGACCACATGGAGAGGGGACCCGAGAACACACATATCACTTATGTGGGCGCGCCTAGACCGTGCCTGTGATGTGGGGTTTTGGAGGTGTTCATACATGTGTGGTGAATGTGTTGGTGGCAAAGTGTGCGGTGACGTGGTTTAGTCTGCAGTGGATTACCGCAGGTTTGAATGGAGACGCATGAAGGCGAGTAGGCCCATGCAGTGACTG